AGAATAAGCTATATTTTGGAGGTTGCCTCCAAATTTACCGACGGATATCCGTCGGTAAAACCAAATCTGAAAATATAATCGATTATGTTAAAAATTAATCGATCATAACGGAGTATATACAATAGCGGTTGAAGTGCAACCGCTATTATAAGCCACTTTTAAGAGCGGTTAATGTTTAACCGCTATTACATGTTTCCTTTTAAGAGCTGGTTCAAATGTTAACCGCTCTTAAAAGTGACACATATATATTAAATTAAAATAAAAAAATCATTTATCACTTATATATTATAAATATTATATATATGTTTAAAAAAATCATATTTATAATTATAACTTTACAAAAAAATTATAACTATCAAATTAATGTTAAATAAATTATATATATTATATTACTTAAATTAAAATCTTTAAATTAATTATTTATATATATATATATATTTTGCATACATTAGAATAATAATTATGAATTTGAAAATAATTTATATTTAAAATATATATATTCTAAATATAATTTATTTTAATTTCTATAATATATATATATATATATATAATTATAAGTTATATTTTCGAGGTCGCTTGGAGGGAACCACTTCCTCCTAATTTACCGACGGATATATCCCTCGATAATGAATATTTTATTTACCGACGGATATATCCGTCGGTAAAACCAAATTTCACAACTATCTTAAATCCGTCGGTAATGTCCATCGGTAATTACTCAATTTCCGACGGCTTTGGATCCCTCGGTAAATCAGAAATTTCTGGTAGTGCACATTACCCTATTCATGACGCGATAAACCCACATATAACAACAGATGATTTCAATTGGGAAAATGTCACTCAATTGTTCACCCAACTTTTAAGTTATCTTTTGACAAACCAAAATGAATTAGAATCACAACAAAGCCAACAACCACCCATAGAAGAAAATGCTATTGTAGGTATTCCAACAAAAGTTTTTGATCATTTTAGTGAAGATAAAGATGAAATCCTTAGCCAAATTCCAGATGATGAAGAAGATGTCCAAGTGCATCCACCTTCAAATATTCCTCCATCACAACCAAACATACCATACAATCCACCACAACATTTTCTCAACTTCCCAACTCATATACAAATAGATGATTTAGAGTTTGGCCATGTCCTAGATCGGGAAACAATAGTTTATCCACCCGGAACACTATTCGTTGGTCAACGTTTCGCCACAAAAGAACAAGTGCAGGATGCTATCAACCAATTTCATATAGTAAACCATTGTACTTACAAGGTTCAACTATCAAGCCCGGTTAGGTTTGTCGTGCAATGTGTTCATACCGATTGTGAATGGAGATGTCGAGCAATATTGCGCACCAAAGACCAATATTGGAAAATAATGAAGTTGGAAGGGCAACACACATGTTTTGCACCTCTCATTTCACAGGATCATAACAATTTGGGATCACGAATGATTTCCCAAACAATCCGTGACATTGTTGAGACTGATCCTTCAACACCTATCTCCACCATCATAGGACACATGAAATCAACTGTGGGTTATACCATCAACTACCGAAAGGGATGGTTGGCCAAACAAATTGTCATCGAAAACATTTATGGCAACTGGGAGGATTCATATCATAAGTTACCTACTCTATTGCAAGCAATGGAATTGTATGTTCCGGGCTTTATTTGGAAGATGAGTACACAACCTGCGTACCAAGGTGAGGTGGTGGACAACAATTATGTTTTCTTTAAGAGGTTATTTTGGGCATTCAAACCATGTATTGATGGTTTTCGTCACTGCAAACCTATTGTTCAAGTTGATGGAACATTTTTATATGGAAAGTATAAAGGGACCTTATTGGTGGCAGTTGCACAAGACGGACGCAACAACATAATTCCAATTGCCTTTGCTATTGTAGAAGGTGAAACTAGTGATGCATGATTCTTCTTTTTAAGAAACCTACGGAGGTACGTAACACCACAAGAGGGGTTGTGTCTCATTTCAGATCGTCACGAGTCCATAAGAAGTGCATATTGTAGACATGGAAGTGGTTTGACAGAAAACAATTCTATACATGTGTATTGCATTAGGCATATTGCACAAAATTTTATGCGACGTTTCAAAACAACTCGCTCTCAAGAAGGATGTGGTCAATATGGGTAACTCTTTATTTTTCTAAAGTTTTTAATATCATTAATGCTTAATTTTCTTATTCATATTTTTTTTTAATATTTTGTTAATTATTTATATTAATTTCACTTTAAAATTTTCTGTAGCATATGGCATGACTGAGCCTAGATTCGTTTACTATTACAACATAGTAAGAGATAATAACTTGGAAGCATCATAATGGTTGGATGAGATTCCAAGAGATAAATGGACACTTGCATGGGACAACGGAAGAAGGTGGGGACACATGACAACAAACTTAGCAGAATCAATTAATTCAGTCCTAAAGAAAACAAGAAACCTCCCAATATGCTCCATGGTGATGGCAACATACACCCGTTGCAACAAATTCTTTACAGAAAGAGGTAGGGAGGTAGATGCCATGATCACAGCTGGTCATATATACTCCGAAGTTGCTTAAAAAAAATTGCAAGATGCACACTCAAAGGCAAACACCCACAGAGTTATCAATTTCGATAGATCAAGCACAAGATTTGTAGTGGAGGAGACTGAACATCCGCGAGAAGTTCGACCAGCAAAGAGATTTACAATTAGATTAGATGAGTTAGTGTGTGATTGTGGGAAGTTTCAAAAAGTTCATATGCCATGCTCGCATGTACTTGCAGCATGCAAACACGCACACCATGACTTTAACATGTACATCGCTCCAGTATATACATTACAGCAAGTTTCTAAGGTGCATGAGCAACAATTTGGAGAACTCAGACATGAAGACTATTGGCCAACTTATACAGGCCCAACTTTGTGCCCAAACCCAGAATTGAAAAGAACTTCAAAGGGTCGACCTAAGTCAAGCCGAATAAGAACAAAGATGGACATTATAGAACAACATGGTCGTGTAAAAAATTGTTCATATTGTCATACCCCTGGTCATACCAAGAAAACATATCCCAACATTACCCGTGCTTCTACTTCACGTAGTTAATTTATGTTGTTTAAAAATTATTTTGTTTCATCTATGATGTTTAGATCAATGTTATTAATGAAGTTTTATTTAACGTCTTTCATGTTTAGATCAATGTTACAAATTTCTCCTGAAATTCAAGAACAACCACACCGACGAAATGCAAAACGTAATAGACGTCTTCCTCGTTGTGGAACTGGACACCACTTTGGAGATTAAAATTTTCTTAACATTATTGTCAATAATTTTATTTTTCAATTTTTATTATCAATGATTATGTTATTTTTAATATTATACATTAAATTCTGTCAATTTTTATTATTTTTTATTTTTAAGTTTATTTTATATTAATAATAATAATAATTTTTAACTAATTAAATAATATTTTTACTTTATTATTTAAAAAAAATTAATTTTAGTATTAATTTTTTAATATAATATTTATAATTTATCAAATAAAAACTATTACATAAATTTTTATAATATAATATTTAATTTTTTTAATATATTACCTAAATTAAATTTTAATTTATTCTATTTTTTCTAAAATTATAACTTAAATAATTCATATAATAAAAAAATATATAAATTTTAAATTTCCTATTCAAAAATAAAATATATATATATATATAAATATAATAAAAAATTATTATTTAATATTTTTAATATTTATTTAAATATATTTAAATAATTTAATATATATTTAAATAATACATTATTTTTATTATTTTATATATAAATATTATTTAAATTTTAAAATTAAAATTTTCTTATTAATATTATTTTTATTAGTTTTATATAATTTTTTTATTTTTAATTATATTTTTATTTAATTTTTTATTTAAAAAAGATAACAAGTTTAAGATTGGGAAACCGAATTCCAAACATTACAATAAAATGGTTCAATTGAGTAAATATACTCGTTACAAATTCTGATATGTATATATATATTATTATAATATTATATCAGTAAAAAATTCTATATTTGAGTGCTCACTGATTCTTTTATATTAAAAAATAAATAAAAAAAATCATGAAAACCTCCAACAAGCGACAGTGAAGGATAGCGGCGCTCCGACCAGACAACCGTGTTCCAGCTATTTTTGTTTTGACTCACGGATATCGATCGCAGTAAGAAAGTGGGCCCCACCCACTTTACCCACTTGAGTCTAGATGTCAAGGTAGGCCCCACAACATTGTTTGAATTTTTGGTCTTAGCTACACTCAATAACTCACCTACATCATTTCATTGTTTGTCTTTTTTTTTTGTTGTGTACGCTCCAATTCACCTATCTTTCCTGTACTTTCCACACAAACTATATCCTAAATCTATTTTTTTTTTAATTTTACCCTAAAACTAATTAAAGTATATAAATTATACTTAAAAAAAGTCAATGAGATTTTTTCTGATATGGGGTAAATAATGTAGTATAATTAAAACTATACATTAAGACGATTATGATCCCAAAATAATGTAGTACTTACATATTGAAAATTTAATTCAAAATTGTAAATTTATTATAATACATTTCCATAATTTTTTTTACGATTTTCACTTTACATATTTATTTAAAAGAGTTTAATTATCAATAACAAATAAAGAATAAAACCTTTCATTTCATTTATCATTTAAAATAATTGTAGAGAAAATTATAAAATATAATATTTTTGTTTCATACATTACATACAAATATCTAAATTGTTAGTTTCGAAAAGAAAGATTTGCAAATTGAAAATGCAATGAATTTAGAAAAAGGCATTTGAAGAGAAGAAGTAGGAAAGGGAATAAAAGAAAGGAAAAGGAGGAATTAGGTTCGCGGAAAGCCGGAACTAAAGAGAGTTTGAAGATGTAAAGAACATGACATTAGAAGAAGCAGTGAGTGAAGTGAAGTAAGCGAGAGAAAAGAGAATCGAAGCAAAACGATGGCAGTTTCTGTAACCATTTTGGTTCTCATCATCGCTCTGCATCTCATAGCCTTCGTCTTTGCCATTGGCGCCGAGCGACGTCGTAGCGAGGTACCTACCTTCTTCCCTTTCTCTCTCCTCTCGCTTTGCTTGTCGCAATTCACCTCTCAAATCTCGTTTCTTTTCCGTTTTCAGGCCAAAGTGCTCCCCGACGAGTACGACGACCGAACCTTCTGCGTTTACACCACCGACGCGTCAACCATCTACGGCCTCGCTGCCGTCGCTCTCCTGCTCCTCAGCCACGCCGTCCTCAACGCTGTAACTCGATGCCTTTGCTGCGGCAAAGGGCTTGTTTCTGGTTGCTCCACCACTTGCGCTGTCTTATCCTTCATCATCTCATGGTAACACTCAATTTATTGAATTAATCGTTCTCTCTTCTTATTTCGCATCTAAACCTAGGAATTCATCTCCTAATTAATTCTAGTAACAAAAAATTAAATATATCTTTTACCCTTAGGTTTCTGTATAGACTTCCGCTTTCACTTCAGTTGCATCAGTTATTGTGAATTGATTGTGCATTTTGTTGTTAGAAGATAAAAATCGATGAAATTTGAAAAAGGTATGATTTTTTTTTTTAATTATTACTATTGTGAAATCAGGAGTAGTTTTCTGGGAGCAGAGGCGTGTTTGTTAGCAGGGTCTGCGAGGAATGCATACCACACCAAGTACCGAGGGTATTTTGTTAACCACGATTTGTCTTGTGCTACCCTGCGCAAAGGTGTGTTTGCTGCTGGAGCTGCCTTGACCTTGTTGTCCATGTTGGCCTCCATTTTGTACTATTGGGCACACTCCAAGGCTGATACTGGTTTCTGGGAGAAGCACCGCAATGAAGGACTTGGATTGGCCACACAACACCACCACCACCACCACCAAGGTGCTGACTCTGATAAGGCTTGATCATGATTTCTTGGTTTGAACTGGTTGGTTGGACATGTTTACTCAATTTTGGTGGTCTTGTTTTTGCTTTTGGATAAGGGATATCGGGGGATATGGGGAGGAAGAACAGTATTTTCAAAACCTTGTTCTTGTATTAATGGGTGAGTATATAATATTTATGCTGTAATAGAAGAATGCTTGAAATATAAAAATAGATAGTAGTGCTATGATGGTGGTTTAATATATTCCAATCTTATAGTTTCAAAAGTGAACATTGAACTTTTGGCATTCGCTTCCTCCAGCTACTTGCTTTTATAGTGTCTTACTTGCATGTGCTGTTGTGATAGACATTAACTAGAGCATCATCCTCTATCCATGTACATGAAGTAAAGATTCTTAGACTCACTTTTCGTAGATATTTGTATTAGATTTAAGAACTTCGGTGGTAAATTTTATTCTAATAATGAAATTATCTAAAAACTTAAGATAGCTCTGATTTATTATCTCTTACGTATTTTGATCCTAAGAACTGTTTACTTATATAAGAACCAGCTCTTCTAGTAGAAAATATGTCAACTATCTTGAATCAAGAGTAAGAATTAGTTCTTGAACTCAAGAATTTCACAAGAACTGTCATACGAGATGGTCTCACTAACTTGTAAATTTCTTTCAATGCCTTTTCATTCGAGATTTCAAAAAAGAAGGGCCGATATTTTGGCATTGTATTTTCATCACTATAACCATTACATGCATGATATGTTGACGTATTTAATCCAATTTTTCTGATGGTTGAGAGTGAAAGAAGGCAGCCACAATGTCTTCGGCTTGATACCTGGGGAAAAACGAGTCCGTGGTTTGGTAGAATACGGAACGGATAAAAATGCCAGGTTTCTTCTATTCTATCTGATTATTATTGCAAAAGAAATTTAAATATACTTTATTTTGAAAAATACAAACATACTCTTGGTTCATTGTTTAGTTTTAAACTAACTATTTAGTTATCTTATCTTATAAAGAAAAAAGCATAAATAAAAATATATTTTTAAGTTTTGTTCCATTCACTCTCACTTTTCGTTTCCCTTCAACAAAAAGTCTAGAAAGATAAAATATGATAAGTTTGAATAAGTTGATCCCACCAAGAGAAAATATTCAGTTTCATTTAAGTAAGCATTAGAATGTTCACAGGTTGTCGTTATCATATTATCATCACCGTTCTTTTAGTTTTTATCTCTTATTCTTCTAATTGAAAGATATAAAGAATTCATTGTCGTGACGTAAGAAAAAGAAAACAAAGACTAACGTTGAGCAAATCCTCAATGCAAAGTAATTGATCCAAATTTTTTTGTCTCTTCTTTTTCTACGTTGATTTAGATTTACCCCTGAACTATGAGGACTTCCAATAAGAGCAAAATGAAATTATATATTTTAATGGATGTTGTTTTATAAGTGTTAAAAATAATACAATGTGATTATATATGATTATTAGTTTATTGAAATTATTGAAATATTTATCAGTGATTGTTTATTTAATAAATTTTGTCTCATAATTTTCAGAATAAATAAATGAAATTATAAAATTATAAAAAATGTTACAAGGTTAAATATCTAATCATAATTAATGCCGTCTTATAAATACATAATAATGTCACAAATATTAAGACATCTAATAACAATTTATTGATCTTGCAAATAATTATTGTTAATCATATGTCGATATGGTTATATTAAATTATATTCATTTAGTTTTAACTATTCATGATGTAAAATTAACAATATTTACTTGTATAAATTAACAACGGGTGAAACAAATGCAGGTAGGGTGGTATTGATCTGTGCGCTTCTTTACCACGTAACTACTTCTATTCATATTCTAAATATAATTTATGATTTTGGTATGTAAATTTAATGAATATTTATATTTATTTAAATATTTATAATTTTATTTTTTCAATTTTTTTTTTAATTTCATAATTCTCAGTATCATTTATAATTTTGTTCTTCTCAAACTTAATTATCATTTAATATATTCATCTTCTTTCTTTTTTTATATTTATTTATTATTTATTAATAATATATTATTTCACCATTCTATAATTAACTTTGAATATCTATCAACCATGAATATCCAGCGTCACTTAATCTAACGACCAAGGTATTTAACATTTATCGTCCAAACATTCAAAGTACGAGCAGTTTTACTGTAATACTTATTTACTTGAACAGCAAAAGAAATGAATGTCTCCTAACTAGTCATGTAAAGAGATTATCATAGCACAATCTCACAGAAAGAGTGGTGACAAGTGAAAGGAGAAAATTATTTGTACGATGGACCAATTAAAAGCTGAGCGTTCATTTCATTATCAGTAAACAAACAACGTATATTCGTTAATAGATGCACATCATAGGAAGTGCAATACAACATCAAATTCTCCAACAGACAGTATGATTATTGAAGCACGACCACACCAAACTCAGAGACAACCCGAGGACCTGTCCCACTTCATAATACAAAACAAAACATAGTACATTACACAGAAAACACTCACAGAAGATACTCACAAACCTAACAATAGTTGAAGTGAAATATACTTAGTGTATCTAGCAAGAGGGGAATGGGGAACCACAAGCATTAGCAACCTTCCTAGCATTGGGAGAGTTAACAAGCCTCTTGAGGTTGGGGTCTTTCAAATACTGGCAAAGGCAAGGCCTTTGTTCCTTCAGTTTGCTACAGCAAACAGATGAAGGAGGACTCGAGGAGGTGATGGCGCTCGCGCATGCACTCAGCTGCAACGCATTACACGTCACTGCTGCAACACACAACCCTGTCTCAGCTAGCACGACCAAGGTAAGCATGATGCACAGTGTTGCATGTGAGACCTTCATTTTCAAACAGAGACTAAGAAGAAGAAATACAATCCTAAATTTAATTGAGAGGTGATATGTGAGACAATCACAGGGATGTGCATAAGGGTGTGGCTCTTCACTATTTATAATGGGAGAGGATCATGGCATGGGTGGGACATGATCTAATGCTTACTACTTTGTAACAAAAAACATAACCTGCCATTTCATGAATGGGCAGGTGTTATGTTATGTGGATATGGGGATCAGTGCTAAAGTTAGGACCCTGGATTGATCTATCATCATGAATTTGAGGAGGACCCCCTTTGCTTTATTATGTGTGTGTACTCATTGCTGATATATTAGAGTCATTAAACTCAGGTCATGCTAGGGGTTTATAGGTTTGGCACCATCATTAGAGAGAAATGTGTCTGCCTAATCATTTACAAGTTCCATCAATATAAAAATACAAGATTAGGCAACGAAATGACATAAGCCACTCAACAATCACTGTGATAGCGTGCCTTCTCAGGTTAACAAATTGATATATACAATCATTATTTATCAATGTCAAATTTGTAAAGAGGTTTGTTTTATTCTTACTGTCACAAGAAGATCAATGGTAAATTTATTCAAATTGATGTAAACACAAAGATATATTATGTTTTCAAAACTAATTATCGAGTAATTTGGTTCAGGTGTAGAATTTAGGATTTGAAGTGTTTGAGAGTTTTTCATACTCCAAGCATTTTTTGTTGGGATTGCTTTAAAAATTATTGAACATAAATTTTATAGCGCTTCACGCTGAAGGCCGAATGACTTTCGGCGATGTGATGGGTGGTCAACGTTTAAGTTATCTTTATGATTATGTCTACTGTTTTGTCCAAACACAAATGCCAAAAAGTAAAAAAAAAATAAAAAATGAAAAAGTCATGTACATTTTATTCTTTTACTACCAACGTGGGGGGGTTAAGTAGTTAATTAAGAGAAGTAACTAGAAACTCAACCAATTTCCAAAGTTTGTTGAGTCAAGAGTAACCAGAAAATTTTTAAAAGATGCCAAAAAAAAAAAATGTAAGTAAGACTTAATGGCTAACTTTGTTACCAACCCTCACATTGTTTGTCACAGAATTTTCGACTTTATTCGTTATTTTTACCTCTATTTTTTAATCAGACTAAGATTTGTTCGTTGTGTTTCTGTTTGTAGGCCGCTAGGCCCATTTCGGAAAAATAAATTTGATAATGTGCAACGTAGCCCACGATGCGGAAATATCTCTACTGTCATTGTGTCGCTTTGGGCTGCTTAAAGCACATCCAAATTAATAGATTTGCACCCTATATGGATTTTTATGGAAAAGGAGTGATTTTTTTTTTCTTTTTCAAAAACAAAAATGGAAAAAATGGATATGTTATTAAAAATTACAAGATATGGATTTTAAGGAAGAAGTGGTGTTTCAAAAAAAATTTGCTTTTAACTCAGCTTTTGTTTTTCTAAAAAAAGGTTGAAGTTGTAACTGAGTTAAAAAATAATATAAAATTATATTTGAAATCAATTTCTATTATGTTTTAAATAAAATCACATTTTGTTATTACAGCATGACAATTTCTCTATTACATTATTTATCTTATTGAATACTTGTGTTATTTCTCTTTCGATCTCTCTCGTATATACATTATAGGAATTGTTGTAAAAGAGTGACAGAAAAGTATTTCACAGCATGACAAATGTCATCATGAAACACACATGATGATTTCATGGTTCTTCCAAAAGTATCATGAACCTTTTTCATCTTACCCTACTTTCTATCTGAATTCTTTCTACTAGTTTTATGACCGTGTTGAATGACTGTGATGTGAGACACTATGTAACCAACTATATAACAGGTCATGGTTTTGAAACACACAGGACGATACTGTTATCTTATCAATGAAAATTGCGGCGAGGTATTTATAATTCGAAATGACAATAGTTGTATTCTTATGTGAACTATTTACATCCAGCAGAAGAAGCTGCCACCGTCCATCTCAGGTGTAGATTATATTCCCACGAAAAGTAGTGGTCCTCCAATTAAATACAGAAAACAACAACATAGGATTAGACATAGACGAGGGTAAACGTTAGACGCTAACAATGTATCTTAAGTCATGTGTGGGCACGACGAAATAAAACTTGAAAACCATGCCAAAGCCATACCTTTCCTCCGAGTTGATTAAATTTCTTGGTTACAAAGCTTAGAACCATAATAGCCTTTCGTACATTACATCTAATATAAGTTGCCACCACGACAAATGAATCACAATAGTGCTACGAACTTGGCTCGGGAGAATCAACAAACACAACCAATACAGTTTGAATCATTCAATTCTTAACCATGCCCATCCGTTCCCGTGAACCTGCACAAAGGCCAAGTTTGTTTGACCGTCAAAGACCACTGCATGCAGTTCTTGGCGGAGGAAAGCGTAAGAAATTTTAAATTCTATTTGAAATGTTCAACATAAAGAATCACAAAGTTTTAAGGAAAATGTAAGCATTTATCTTTCTAGGATTCATCGTAAGTATTTAATAAGATACAAATTTTTGTTAGAAAAATAAAAATATCTATTGCACTTTACATTTTCAATGCAACAAATACTTTCTCTTTGATTAAAACTCCTTACTTTTATAACAGGACTTTTTTAATACCACATGAATATGTCTCCCCGTAGAAAATAAAAAAGCACCACTGTGATGTTAAGTTTTCGTCCAAAAGAAAAAGAAAAGATGAAAGCTCCATAAATCTTAATTAGGGGAGATATCAAGTTAGAATCAGAAGTTAGAACCTTTAATAGTTTGATTGGTAGAAACTCTCCTAACTTCTATTGTTTTGAGGGTTTACTCAAGATATGCACTAAACCCAAACCATTTGATGCATTTTGATATTCAAAGACCAAAATGGAGAACAACCTATATTTCTTAAGTTCTTTTGTGTGATATGATTGATCTGATTTTGCAGTTGCTGATATATTGCTATGGAAAGACAAGGTATCATCGGCAACAATTGTAGCTGGGTTCTCGATCATTTGGTTCCTCTTTGAAGTGGTCGAATACAACTTTCTTACTCTTCTTTGTCACGTCCTCATGGCCATTATGCTCATCCTATTTGTATGGTATAATGCAGCTGGACTTATCACATGGTAATGTAATCTTACACTTTATAGACATTAATTCATGCACTCCTTAATTAAAACGCCTTCTCCATTGTGTGTGGAGAAAAATTAACAAGTTTCTTTGCAGGAGCCTGCCTCAAATCTATGATTTTCAAATCCCCGAACCCACCTTTAGATTCTTGTTTCAAAAGCTCAACTCGTTCTTGAGGAATTTTTATGACATCTCAACTGGAAAAGACCTAACACTCTTCTTTGTGGTATTTAGAAACCATTTTCAATTGGTCATCATATTTTATCAGACAAATTTCTTAATCGTTTCTTAGTTAACATCTTGTCATCGAATTTCAGACAATTGCGGGTCTCTGGATCCTGTCAGCTATTGGCAATTACTTTACCACTTTGAATCTTCTATATATATGTGAGATCCTAATTATTATCGTGTAGCTATCATTTATATAAAGGTTTCGATTAACAATTGAACTTTGTTATTAATTTTTTGTTGTGCTGTATCTTTCTTCTACAGTGTTCGTCTGCTTGGTGACCATTCCCATTATGTACGAGAGATATGAACATGAGGTGAATTATCTAGCAAGCAAAGGAAACCAAGACGTGAAGAGATTGTTCAACACGTTAGATACTAAAGTTCTGAACAAGATTCCAAGGGGACCTGTGAAACAAAAGAAGAACAAATGAGTTTAGATATATGCAATGCAGGAAATAAATCATAAACTGTTGCACTAATTGGCTACGAGTGGAACTGTTTCCTTTCTTTAAGTATGTAAAGAAAATAATGCTTGTAAAGTTATTTATCTAAAAAACCAAATATTACGAAATACTAGGACGATGGAGTAATGGAAGGTACGTGTTATTTAAAACATATTACAACACTCATAATTTGTTTGGACAAGTTCATATATGAGTAACTGAAGGTGACGTTATAACTTAAAATCTGGCTAGTTATGCTTGTACATGTTAATAAATATGACTACTTATCTCTCCATCAATCCCTTCAAATGACGCATAACATAGGTGTAGAAAAATAGGATTACCACAAAGGAAATGTACCTAAAGTAACCATGCTACCTTACTTTCTTGGTATATCTACCACGTTTTACTTCTTTCGTATCTATTCTTCAAGATACGACAGCAAATACAGATTCTCATGTGCAACAGTATTTTCTGAGTTTGGGGATTGGTATGAGAAATGTTATCGTATAATTTGTTTTCCAAATAAAACTGTTTTTTTTTATTGGATGAAATGTATACAATTAGTTTCACTAAATGTGTGAATCTCATTTCTAAGCTAGTGGGATGTAAAGACTAATTTATGAGAAGAAGCAAGGATGATTAAAACTGGGAAAACTTACATGTAGCTAGAAAACGTTGGCGTTAGAAAGCTTGAACAATGATTGAATTGAAGTAAATTGATGCATGTATATACTGAATTTAACCAAACCAAGGTGAAAAGGAACGTGTATGTGTGTGTGTGTGTAAGAATAAAAAAATTAAGAATACAACAGAGCAGGACGCACGCTCACCATATTTAGTATTAATCGCCGCACAAAAAAAAGTGTCTCATCCGTGAAATTGATAAAGCCATTTATCCAACCCTTCGCCAAAGGAATTACCAATACCTTTTTTTTTCATAACATGAAAACTATCCTTTGATTAACATTTGAATCAAGAGGGGCTTAGTTTTGAAAATTAATCTTTTTAAAATTATTTTTTAAGAATAAATTGTCATGAAACCACAGATTAACTGTTAATATTTTTTCAATCTGGTACGTGGCACCAACAATTTTGGTTTTGGTTTAGAGCACCTTCTATCCGAGCATAACATTTATTGTTCTTATTCTTTTCGTACAAACGTAGGATGCTTATTCGTTTCGCTCGCCCACATAACTCACGAGACCTAATCTGAAGTCACCACTGTTCTAGATCCCCCAAAAACAAAACACTATTTTCACAGCATTTACTTCTTCTTTTTTACACTATCTTTTGATGACAATTATTACCACTATTTTCATTTTCGGTGGCTGCAGGAGAATCATTTTAGAACAATAATTGGTGGGGTTGGGTTCCCCACTTCTGCTCTTTATTATTTGTAGACAGTTAGATGTCTTTTTCTATTGGGAACAAATCAAGCCACGTAATCCCCAACTTCAGTCTCTAAGCATAGTTACGCCCATTCAAATCCTAACATTTTCAACTATCCATTCATTCCATGTAACTTCTTCCACCCTTCTATATTACACATCCAAACATGCTACAATTTCAACACCTTCATTCATTCACATTATTATTTTATCAATACTTTTACATAAATATTTAATTGGAGGCTACTAATTTTTTTCTTAATGTTTAGTCCTAATTGAAGTGGGCAACGCAAAAAGAAAGGGATTAAATGAAATTAATATTGGTTTTGCAAGGTAAGTGTGATTGGACCACAGATCTAAATAATTATATCAACCGATCATTGTGGGGAGTTAGCTCATCGCTTTCAATAGTATTCTTAGCTCACAACTTCATCATCTGGCTTTGACTCTCACCAAAAAAATAAGAATATTTCTTAGTTTTTGGAATATGACGAAATATCCACTTTTTCTCATTGTATGAAATTGTACTAAACATCTAAGTATATACCATTTAATAATTATATATTGAAGTAATTTTGAAATTATTTTTAATGATAAATTATTTATAACCCTCGATATATGTAACAAACGATAAATCTTACGTTATTATAGATGTAAAATATCGTCATATAATAATGGTTATATTTATAATTATTATATGTCAAAAATTTTAATGACGATCTTTTTATAATTATGGTTATATGTTATTTATGATGATGGTTATAAAAGAATCGTGATCGTATATTTTTATGTGTTTTCACTTCTCTTTTTTCTCTTCCATTTTGTTTTAACTCTTCTCTTCTTCATTTGTTTATCGTAATTCAACTCTTTTCTTCTTTTTTTCCTCTTTTTTTCTTTTTTAAAGTTTTTTTTTCTACCGTAAATCTCTCTACCACATATGTCTCAAAACACACTTGATGTTGGGAGAATAATAGTGAAATAGAATGTTTTTTTAAGGAAAAAGGTAGAAAATAATGCTTTGCTTGAGACGAAAATAAATGAAAATGTTCTATTGGACGCTTTGAAACTGAGTTAGAAGAGTTGTAATGGAGAAATGGTGAAAACTTATTGATTTATTGTGGCGAAGCAACAAGAAAATAGTGAGAATTTTTGTCATGGAGGAATAATAATAAGATAACAAAGTTGTTGTAGTAAAATTTCTAGATTTATTATATTTCTTATTTATTTATTGTGGTAAAACTTCTAAATTTATTACGACAGAGAAAATAGGATTGTTAACCTATGATGACAATTATATTTATTTATAAATATAATCGTCATTGTATAAATAATTTATACAATAATTCAAAATTACGAGAATTCAAATAATATTATTATAACTTTTTTTTTAACCGTCACAAAAAGATTATTTTTAGTAGTGAATTATTTTAAACAAATTTGTAATCTTTTAATTTCAGGTGTCCATATATTCAACGCTTTACTTTTTAACATACATACAATCTAGTCTTTTTCGTGTATTATGATTTTTTCAATTTTAAGAAAATTAAAATTTTAAGTATAACACTTTTTTTTACAATATTAGGAAATATATTTAATTGTCAATTAATGATAAAAATTGTTAAATATAAAAATTGAGAAGATGAAAAATGATTTAATCACATCTTTGGACTTCTTGCTAAGCGTGATATACTTTTTTTTTTCAAGCTCATTACTGTCCCTCCGTCCTTACCGTTGTTGTCTTTGAAAGATTTTATAATATTTAAAGTATAAGTACTAATTTTGATCATATTTCTTTTTGGTTGGAGAAGTACAATATTTTTTATTATTATATTCATTGATAGTTTTAGGATTTCTCTCTCAGCTTAAGTTTAAGATTTACAATAGCACCAAAATTTGGTGGCCAATATATTTCATTTTCCCATAATAGTTAGTGTATAACTTCTACAAAAATGCATAGCTTTCTATTATCGGTGTGACTTGTTTGGTAATTTTTCTATAATTAGATTCATATACAAGTTAATCTTTTTTCCTCACGAAGATAAAGGAATATTTTGAAAATACCAAAGTTTCAAAAAAGTTATAAAAGCAACTTTAAAGATAAAAAGTCTTGAGAAATGTTTCTACCAAATTACCGATATAAGGTTTTACTTATACCATTTGAACTATGCATATAGACTTATGAAGCTCGAAGTTATTACACTATTACTAATTAGTCATATATATAAAAGTTACGTTCAGACTAGACTTTTGAATTTAAGAGAAAAAGCTACAAATTTAAAGTATCTTTTTTATACTCACTATTTTTGCTATACAATGTTAAAATGATTAAAGGTATAAAAAACTAGTTTAAGCACGTTGTTTGATGCGAAATACGTGTGATTACTAACTTGATGATTAAAGAAGAATGTTGTGTTGTTGGTATGTGGTTTATGGTGATATGAAAGCAGTTTTTGCAAGAAAGGAAAAGGACAGGTAAAAAGAAAAGTAGATAATAATTAATTATAGTAAGTTTGGAAGTGAGAAAAAAAGAAGGGTAATTATGACGCATGAGTTTGGCATGAATTTGAATTTATGAAGCGTAATGATTGTAATTTTAGAAGGAATAGGAGAGAAAAAGATGGAAGCTAAGTGGGCATAATGACTGAACGTGAAGAAGCAACTTAACTGAGTTGGGAATAATGATAAGCTTATTATATAATAGTGGCAGGCAAATCATTGACGTTGCCAAACACAACTCTACTTACAACAACAATGCTTTTTCTCTTCGCTTTCTCTTTAACAACTACCAGAGAAAATAATTATCAAATTGTACGAGACAATGAAATAAGATTTTATTTTTTCTTTTAATATTACTTGTATAAATTACCAAAATGATACAGCAACAGATTGAAGTAATAATAAAAAAAATCAATTTTAAATGAAAGACTTAAAATCATTTGATTAATAATGAAACGGGTGATTAATTAATTAAAGCGTATGTTGCAGAATATGCGACCAGAAGCGTGGTCTTAATTTGAGATAAGATGTAGTAATCCGGAACATGAGTTGGAGTCACATATCAATAATCATTGTGGCAATGTAGTTTTTTAGTCATTGGATCACGCAATCCATCTTGTTATACATTGCGATTTTAATCTAACATGTTGTTGGGTCCTGATATTGATTGAAGTTTCCATGGAACCAAATTTTATGAATCATGTGACACCCAATTATCCACACTAATAACAATTTGGTAACCACGTCAAACATAAAGGATAGTAGTCAATTTCAAACATGACGCACCAAAAGCCAAGAAAAATTTAGAAACCAATGTTGTTGGAGTTATCTTGCTATGTATCCAGAAAAATAACGTTGGTCGGTTCATCGTCGGACACGTCCAGCCAACTTCTACTTTTTAATAATTTTATTACACTTTTCCTAATTAATGCTAACTAAATATGATTGTTCTTCCGACACACTTTTAACCCGTTCAACCAGGAAAAATACACCTTAATTACATTGGAGCAGTTAATAAAAAAGTTGTGTAAAAATTAATACTAACTAACGTTTTTTTCCGAGGAACAAAATGAAGGACTTGGATCCTCTTATATTTGGGTTCAGGGTTCTATTGAAAATGACACACACAAACACTTTATTCATTGGGTGGCTTCTGTGGCAGAGTGATAAAACTAGTTATGAAGGTTTGTCGGTGAACGATGCATAATGCGAGAAAGGTTTATTGTTGAGTACTTGGAGGAGATTTATTAACGAGAGCTTAATTCACATAAATATTAATATTATTTTTAATTTCAAAAATTTTAAGATAACATATTATAGATATTTTCTTCTATACGTGACTCAACTTTTTTTACTTTTACTCAAAGTTTATTAAGAAAATAATTTCTTCCAAATTTATCTTTTAAGTAAATGTCATAATTTAATATTACTACCCGGTGGTCGTTCTTTTTGTTTTCTTCCATTTCAATTTTCATGAATACCAACTGGGATAAAATATATGGCATTCTTCATTTTTTTTAATTTATCTTCAATGTTTTTTATTTACTTGATCATTTTTAAAAACTAAACTCTTCCTTAAATCTTACAAAATCAATAGTGTTTGGATTTAATTATTTTTCATTCAAGAGAATTTTTTAATTATAAAATTATTTTTAATAAATATTTTTAACTTTACGTGAAAACTAATTTCCCACGGAAAGAACTTACAACGAAAGATTAGTTATGCCATCTAATAATATTTTTTTCATCTATAGACTTTAAGATATAGTTAAAGAATTTAATATATATATTCTCCAGCGAAAACCCCAAATCAGCAAATACCATAACAAAAAAAAATTGCTTGAGGCTCCGTGACTGAAAAGGAAGTCAAATAAAAAAGTAAAGGAACATAAAAAAGGCTCGTGCACTGCACAAAGAGTAAAGGAGAAGGGATGAAATAAATGATACAATTATGATAGAAAAATATTTTTTCTCTATTTTTTATTTTATATTTATGTATACTTTATGCTACTATTATGTCATATTGTGTAACTTTAGTTTTCTACAAAAACTTTTTTACATAATTACCCTCCTCTATTGTATTCACTTATTTTCTTTTTCTCTACTGTAAAAAAAAAAAATATATATATATATATATATATATATATATATTTACTTCTTGTTATAAACCAACACTGTTTTTTAAGTTTCTCAAAAATATTTTCTTTGAAAAAATTAAACCAAATTTGTTGTTACCAGAGACAACAATTAAGTATCAGTTTGTTGATTAAGCAAGCTCTATCCGTTACACACTTGTCCCACTCTGTTTAGGAAAGACAAATGCTGTTCACTAATATTGCGCTTGTAATATACTTCGCAGCAAATTCTGAGGTCAAGCTTGTCAATAATTTCTACATGTTAAGCATTTTAATGAATAGAATATCCAATGGTGCAATTATGATATGTATTGCTTGACTCATTTTTTCCAAGTTTTATAATATCACATAAAATTTAAGATTTCAATAATTTTTTAAAGTATGACCTTTAAGAGCTCAAATTGAGTACTATAATTATCTAATAATTTTAAAAATTACTACGTGGGTTTTCTCACCTGTAAAACTGCAGAAGAATTGGTCTTTAAATTTAAGAATTTTATAAGCAACTTGCTCTTTGGGAAAATTTATAAGAAAAAAAAAATATTATTCAAACATTATTGACAAAATAATGAGTTATCCCTAGGTGAATCTAAATCACAACTAAGAAACCGAAACAGTAGTTTACTTGAAATTAAGTTGATGAGTTGGTTAGAATGTATTGGACGTTAAAAAGACAGAGAAGCCCTCTTTGTGAACAAGAGAATGAGAAGGGAATATATGCTGCAACTGTGGTTACACGCGCTGTGGTGTGCATTAACATTAAGTGTGTCTTAGTGGTAGCAATGAAGCACCACCGTCACATTTGAGGAGGGTTAGGTGAAGTTAATCTCTCATTAGGGGAAACTAACCGTGGTTAAGGATGTTGGAGTTTACTGTGTTGGGGTAGTCATGTCATCACACATCACTGAGAAAGAGACATGGTGAGAGTGTGTGCGTGTGTTTGAGGGGAGGGAGAGAATCAAGTTCTTTGTATAAAGACATCCAATTTGTCGTTAGTTGGGTGCAAGAGGCAACAAATATCACTATGAATTTTCTGTTTTTGTAACAAAAAGTAAGAGAAAAGGGATTCCCAGTTGACACCATTGCTCACTAAGCTGAGTGTTTGTGTGTGTGACTGAGAGGAGAAAGGAAAGAAGAATCTTTTGGTGTCTGTCTCTCATATCTCAACTCACACCACCACTCTCTCCCTTCTTCTTTTCAAAGGGTAGGATTTTTTCTTCGCTGCTGTTGTGAAAAGCTTCTCCCTTTCTTCTTCATTCATCTTTTGGGCTACTTTGGCCTCTTTTGAGCTTCTTCATTCATCGAAGGAAGATGGGTTAATCGTGCATTTTTATACATGGTGGTGTTTGGATCGATTTAAGTGTTCACGCAGCCATCCTTAGTGTTGCTCCAATTCTCAGTGTTACTGGATTTTTTTTTTTTTTTTCGTTTTGGTTGGTGGTATTATTATTAATAATTCTATTAATAGATTCAATTGTTCTCTGTTTAGGATTTTCTCAATTTGCTGCTATGGTTACCTTTCTCGTTGAACGTGGTATCTATGAAACATAATTTGTCATTAAAGTATATAACTACTATCAAGTCCAGCAGAAGGGGTTTTACTGTTCTAGTGAGATTTTAGATTTATCTCACTCTCCGTTATTTTCTGGTGAGTGCTATGTGCCAAACCTGAATTTTCTGAAATCCTGAGGTGCAAAAGAAAACACATCAAACTTTTGTTACAGACCTTTCTTATAATGTAACATTAGGTGATTTTGATTCTGCTGGACTTTTTAGTTTCGGGGTATAAAGGACATTTAAGTTGTTTTCAGATTTCTGAAATTTCATCCTTATCATGATTGTTTGAAGGACTCCGAAGTGAACAATTAATATAAGCCTGCTTCTGCATCTTGTCCACCAAAGTTCATCATCAAAATGGTTTCAAGGTCATATTCCAACTTGTTAGATCTTACTTCCTGTGGCTCCCCATCTTTCGGTCGCGAGAAGAAAAGGCTACCTCGAGTTGCAACTGTTGCCGGAGTACTATCTGAACTAGATGATGAGTCCAGCAATAGTGTTGGCTCTGATACTCCATCCTCAGTCTCTCAAGAGAGGATGATCATTGTAGGTAACCAACTTCCATTAAGAGCACGCAGAAAAGACAATGGTACATGGGAGTTTACATGGGATGAGGACTCACTTCTTCTGCAGCTGAAAGATGGTCTTGGGGATGATGTGGAAACTATTTATATTGGTTGTCTTAAAGAAGAGATTGAGCCTAGTGAGCAAGATGATGTTGCTCAGTACTTGCTGGACACTTTCAAATGCGTGCCCACGTTTCTCCCTCCTGAGCTTTTTAGCAAATTCTATCATGGATTCTGCAAACAACACCTATGGCCTTTATTTCACTACATGCTTCCCCTTTCGCCTGATCTTGGTGGTAGATTCGATAGGTCCCTTTGGCAAGCTTATGTTTCTGTGAACAAGATATTTGCGGATAAAGTGATGGAAGTCATTAGCCCTGATGACGACTTTGTGTGGGTTCACGACTACCATCTGATGGTACTTCCAACATTTTTGAGAAAGAGATTTAACAGGGTGAGGCTAGGATTCTTCCTGCACAGTCCATTTCCTTCCTCTGAGATATACCGAACCCTTCCTGTTAGGGACGAACTTCTTAGAGCTCTTCTGAATTCTGACCTTATTGGGTTTCATACTTTTGATTATGCCAGGCATTTCCTCTCCTGCTGCAGTAGAATGCTTGGAATTTCTTACCAATCCAAGCGGGGCTACATTGGTCTTGAGTACTATGGAAGAACTGTAAGCATTAAGATTCTTCCTGTAGGTATTCATATAGGTCAGCTCCAATCAGTCATGAGTCTTCCTGAGACAGAAAGCAAGGTTGCAGAGTTAAAAAAGCAGTTCAGAGATCAAACTGTGCTGCTCGGGGTTGATGACATGGATATCTTCAAAGGAATCAGCTTAAAACTTTTGGCCATGGAGCAATTGCTTTTACAACATCCTGATAAGAGGGGCAGAGTTGTCCTGGTCCAAATTGCAAACCCTGCAAGAGGCCGTGGAAAGGATGTGCAGGAGGTACAAAGTGAAACTTATGCCACGGTGAAGAGGATAAATAATACATTTGGAAGGTCTGGATACACACCTGTAGTCTTGATTGATACACCACTTCAGAGTTACGAGAGAATTGCTTATTATGTGATTGCAGAATGTTGCCTTGTTACAGCAGTGAGAGATGGGATGAACCTTATACCCTATGAATACATCATTTGTAGACAAGGCAGTGAGAAGATAGATGAGATCTTAGGGACAGACCCACTTATTCAAAAGAGAAGTATGCTGGTGGTGTCCGAGTTCATTGGCTGCTCCCCTTCATTGAGTGGGGCAATTCGAGTGAATCCATGGAACATTGATGCTGTTGCTGAAGCTATGGATTCTGCACTGATGGTTCCAGAGGCTGAAAAGCAGATGCGGCATGAGAAACATTATAGGTATGTTAGTACACATGATGTTGCATATTGGGCACGTAGCTTCTTGCAGGATCTGGAGAGGGCATGTAGAGATCATCTAAGGAGACGATGCTGGGGCATTGGTTTTGGTTTAGGCTTCCGAGTAATTGCTTTGGATCCAAACTTTAGAAAGCTATCCGTGGAACATATTGTTTCAGCTTATAAGAGGACCAGGCACCGAGCGATTCTTTTGGATTACGATGGGACTATGGTGCAGCCCGGATCCATGAGTACAACACCTAATGCCGAAGCAGTTGGCATCTTGAACATCTTGTGCAGGGACACCAAGAATTGTGTTTTCATTGTAAGTGGAAGGGAGAGAAGGACTCTTACTGAATGGTTTTCTTCTTGTGAAAGGATGGGAATCGCTGCAGAGCATGGTTATTTTGTGAGGTACGTCCTTTTACCTTGTTTGTTAGGAACATGAAGACTTTATGGGTACTGCAAATCATATTAATGGTTTTCATTTTTTACTGGTTTTTCTTTTCTTAATTTTAAGAATGATGAAATTTGATTCTTTTGTCCCGAGTTTGATAGGATTGAGGGATCATCATATTTGGCTTTTCTATTGTTAACCGCAAAATAAACTCACTGTTTCATTTTATATGTAATAGAATGTCGAGGAAAAATACTTTTCTTTAGCAGAGCTTGCTTGTGTACTCAAACCAAAGTTTATCTTCTTTATGTGTCCAGGACCAATCAAAATGCCGAATGGGAAACTTGTGTTCCTGTACCGGATTTTGAGTGGAAACAGATTGCTGAGCCAGTTATGCAGTTATATATGGAAACAACTGATGGTTCTAACATAGAGGCCAAAGAAAGTGCTCTTGTTTGGAATTACCAGTATGCAGACCGAGACTTTGGTTCATGCCAAGCTAAGGAGCTTTTTGATCATCTGGAAAGTGTTCTTGCCAATGAGCCTGTCTCTGTTAAAAGTAGTCCAAACATTGTGGAAGTAAAACCTCAGGTCAGTTATGGAAAATCTTTCAACCTTTAATCTATTTGTCATATTTAGTTGTCCTAATTTACATGCATCTATAGTTGTGACTTCTGTAGCTTCACTAGTTAGAAAGGATCTTTGGATTTGAACCTTCAGGGTGATTGATTTAATTATAGTGGTGCTCGGCACAGAACCATGTTTTAACAACCCTATTATATGCTCCAGAACTTGTGTACATCACATAAGTTAATTCTAATACTTCTAGTCATGAAATGTGGTTGACGATCTCCTCTTGGTTCAACTTTGGTACAGGGTGTGAGTAAGGGTATTGTAGCAGAACGTCTTCTCTCAACAATGAAACAAAAGGGAGTGATTCCAGATTTTGTTCTATGCATAGGAGATGACAGATCAGACGAGGACATGTTTGGGGTAATAATGAATGCCAGGGCATTACTATCTCCAGTTGCTGAAGTGTTTCCTTGCACAGTTGGGCAAAAACCTAGCAAGGCCAAGTATTACTTGGAAGACACAAGTGAGATTTTGAGAATGTTGCAAGGCCTTGCCAATGCTTCTGAGCAGTCTACTAGAACTTCTTCTCTACCTTCTCATTAAGTTATTATTTTTTGCAATGTGTAGCACACATATACTATTTGTCTATACTGGGATATCTATCTTGTGTTAGATTTGTTGATCTATTTTATTTTCTGGCTGTGGTGCCTTCATTTATTGATATCCCAATGTTGTTGCAACTACCAATTGGTTATTTTGAAAGTAGAAGAATTATATGGTGTATTTATTGTTTCTTTTCTTCACTATTGGTTCGAACCATTTTTATGTATGATGAGGTGAATGAATGAATGCTAGGGTTGTGAATGTCCTGTATCAAGTTACATCTCTTATTGGTACCAGTTCTTCTGCTTGATGTACAAATTCCAGTTAGTGATGCTTTTCTTTCTTTAGCAATTGCTGGTACAATTAATTGGGGGCCAGAAGCTCTGGACTGTGGTCAAATAAATGTTTTCCGAGGTCATCATTTCTGAATTTAAAGTCCTAACTTTGCAGAGAATTCTTGCCTCAGTTTTTGTGTCAATGGATTTTCTCAGCTGTGGTTGCAATTAATGGGTCTCACTCACATTTTAGTTCATTTAATGCAATTGTAGTAATTGTGATTGGGTTAGTTACTCCTCAATAATTCTTTTTCTTTTTGATATTTTCTTATTAAAATCAATAAATGCAATCGAATTTAATAAAATGTGGACCGAATTATAGCATGTAAGAGAAAGACTCGATCAAATAACTTTCCTAGAATTAAGAAAATAGAAAAGAAAAGGAGCAGTTTATTTTATTTATCATTTTACTAAAACTGGTTCAATAAAGATTATTTTACTTTAAATTTGAAATTACATGTATGAAAATATTTATCGACATAATATTCCAACAGGGTCAAGAAGTCAAACCTTGGTCAAAAAGCTAAAGAATTCATGTATTGAGGAAAATTTTGAGGTGAAAATTGTTTAATTGAAAGGCGAATGACAGAAAGGAAGTTTTGAGGTGAGTAGAGGTAACAACTCAACTAGAATGATTATATATACGTGTCAAGTAAAGCATTGATATGTGAAAGTATCTAAAAAAAGTATGGATATGTGAATGTTATAACTCTGTTTCATAAATTACAATTATTTCAATGTAGAAAAAGAAAAGGAAAAGAAATTATAATGAAGGAGAGTGAAGTAGATTATCTCGAAAGAATTTTGAAATTTTAGTGTAAGTTAAAAAAGAATATGTATATAATAATAATAATTAAAATAATGAATTATGTCATTATGTATTTGATATATTCTTTCTCTTTCACTATTTCTACTTTTTTAAATGTAAAAAAAATCCTAAAAAGAAAATAAGAAATAATAGTATGATTAAAAGAAGAGGAATGAAAAATTGGAGTGAAAAGAAAGTGGGGGTAATTATAATTATTGGAAGTTTTAGAACCATTCAAATTCACATGTCGATGTTCTTTTTTCCTTGGTAGCATGAGACTGTTCCACGTCACCTTTTCGAGCTTTGAAGGGACAGTAACCATTTGTTGCTACCACCACCATTTCTTTATCTTTCCCACACATCATAACATAACCTTCGAACCACAACGTAACATGGCGAGGCAATTCAACTACAAACTCCAAGGTGGTCGTGAAGAGCTTCGAATTCAAACTCTTGTTTTCGTATTATGTGTCACCCTCTCCCTTCTTGCAGCCATCATCTTCTTCTGTGCAGATGGAACCAAGAATCCCAAAAGAAACTCCGAAGACAACAACAATGGGCTCGGAGGTTCAGCCTGCGCCGCCGGGTGTGGCTCAGCATGTGGCGGAGGCTGCGGTGGTTAAGGAACTAACTAACGAGAGAGAGAGAGAGAGAGAGAATCTATTTGGCACATGGTTGTGTTATTTTTCATTGTAGTCAAAATAGAATAAGATGCTGTTGTACATGAAACGATTGATTGTACCAACGACCCAAAGGAAATGTCTGAAAATCAAATCACCCTACCTGTCCTTTTTTTATTCTTCCTTCCTTATTCCTTATATCGAAATTTAGTTAAAGAGAAATTTATCATTCTAGAAGAAAAAAAAAATGCATTCTTTGTTTAATTAGAGAAACGAGGAACGAAAGGGAACACACAGTTGGATCTAGGACAGAGAAAGTGTTGAGTTTAGAAAAAGGAGGGCTAAAACATCACCTCTTATAAAACATGTTTTTGATATATAATAATAGCTGTTGCGCTGCGCTGGTTAAAATTAAGTTATCTAGAAATCTTGCATGAAAATAAATATTTTAACTTTGACTTGCTTCTTCATCATGTTTATTTTATCTATCAAAATTGTCTTATAATCTAGTCTTATGAGTTCTTATTATTTTATTTAAAATTTAAAATTATTGTTGATAAGTTGACAATTATTTTTCTCTCTATACATATTTATTTATTTATTTTCGTTTGTTAAAGAAGAATCTTTCTCTCTCCACTTGTTAAACCTTATTACACGATCTTCTTTAATCTCTTTAGTTGTCCTGTTCCATGGTATCATATATTTCTACTTTGCTTTTATGGTATTTTGAATCTGGTTGGGACAAGCCTTTTTACTGTGAATGAATATGTGATCATGACAAGATGTCTTGATGAAGAATTTTAATAAAGACAACCCACTATAATGGAAGCCAAGGTAAAAAGATCTCTCAGAGTTTGATTATGTATTTATATTATATTGAGTGTGCCTTAGAAATATTACCACATTATTTCATCAACACATAAATCTAATATACCTTGAGCCCGCGAAACAAGATAAAGTTGCACATAGGAAACTAATAAAAAAGCACATAGTTTTGAAATTTGATTTGATTGGCTGTGTTAAAAGGTGTTATTTCTAATATATTTGACTATTACATGTTATGAGTCTTAATAAATGTTTTTGTAAAGATAAATTTGAGTATCAAGATAATTTAAAAGTTCTCGTATTATCGTCAGAGATATCATGGAGGTATGTATCACATTAAGTTGTTTTTAAATGTTTTTCAAAGTTTTAGAATATCATAACCTTGAAAAATTTTAAATTTGAATCTAAGTTTTACATTAAATAAGAATAAAAAAATTTAATATTTTAGAGTTTTGGATTGAAAATGAGATTAATTTTAGATTACTCATGTTTTAGTAGTTTGATATTTTATGTGATAACCTATGTAAAAACAATCATTGCAAAAAGTTATCCACTAACAAATTATTTAGAGTTTATTTTTTTAAGATTTATAGAATTAAAGTTATTATTTTAAGGATTTTTTATTCAAACTATTATTTTTTTGTGTAACTTATTTAATTTTTCTTTAGAAAGACTAACTATATTTATACTGATATTTTATAATTTAATTTAATTGAAATTATATTTTTAGAAAATACATTATTTGAATTTATATTTTAAAGAATAATTTTAAATCACTTTAGTTTAAAAAATATAAAATAAAAAAAATCTATAAGTATAAAATAATCAAATACCTGACGAATATATAAGGGTAATTTTTTTCAAAATAAATCGGAAAGCAGACAATTCCCATACCTGTGCCAGCTCAGACGGATTGTCACCCGTACTCATATGCTAAAGAGAACTATCCAAGACGCAGCAAAATCAAACCCCAAAATTACTAAAAAGTCTCCTATTGTGAGGCGAATACAAAAATTTCACACACTCTCCTCAAACCCCACTCATCCTCCATTCATTCAATCAACTTTTGCAAATACATTTTAGTCTGACAGCTACAGGAAAACTACGAAACATGGACATCAAACAAACATAATTCCCCCTTCGAATTTTAGTTTCGTGTCTTATGCATGAATGCTCTGCGCGTCTGCCACATACATTTATGAATCACCATGCTCAACAGTTCTAAACCACAGAGATCAGAATCATACACTGACAAAATACATTTTAATTTTTTATTGCATAATAATATACTGAGTCAAAAAATATATACCTCTTTTTATTCTTAGTAATTTCATCCTTGATTATATTGATCTATAGCCATAAAACTATTTACATCCCTCTTCCATTTCTTATTTCAGTAGAGGATATATCCATGTGGAACTGCTCGGCTGGGATGGAGACAAACATGTCTTTTAGTTCTTCTGGAACATCAATATCGTCAAGAACCTGTAACACCACACAATGGCCTCTCTAATACTGAACTTAAAAGAAATATCGTAATTAGAATTGCATTTTCTTATGCAGTAATACCTTGAAAGCACCATCTACATTCCGACCACCAACAAGGAAAGAGCATCCTGTTTCTTTACAACCAATAAGTGTCTTCAACATCTTGCCGTAGTCACCATCATAGTATTTAGGCTTCAAGAGTAATATATAACAATTTGAAGATATTAGTTAATAAAATCTATTGAAGCAAACAGAAAAAATTAAACTTAGTCCTTTAATACAAAGTGAAAATTTTATATAATGAACTAATCAGCTTGTATACCTTTCAGACTATTGGCTTGAGAAACACAATAAAGCAATAGAAACCGGAACCAAAGAATCAGATATTTCTTCTTACTTGATACTAACCAGTTTTAAATTTAAGAAAATGTTTTGTTTCATATTTCTTTTTTGTTTATTCTTTGAAAATAGAAAACAAAATGAAAACAAAGTGACATTTTTGTAAAAATGAAAACAAAACATTTTCTCAAAATAAAGAAACTCATATGTTTCCTTTTCTGCTTTACTCTTGGGGTGTGAACAGCTGAAGCAGACTTGCTTGAAAAAGGATATTTCAAAATGTACTTTTATGCTAATACTCTAGGTAAGGATGACAATCTTATACCTAGTCCTTGTTCGAAATCAGTCGATCTGTCGGAAATATTCCTTCTCAATTAGCTCAATCGAACTAAACTGATCTTTAAGGAGAAATAGCAGTTTCAGTGTGTCAGACAAAAACTGTATATGCTCGGAAACATTTCTAAACAAAATACACGATTTTATTTCACAAAACCAATCCTTTCAACGAATACCAAGACGTACACCAGATTGATATACAATGGAATGGGGAAACACAAGACAGTCAGATTGCTATTAACCCCTTCAGCTATAAGAAAATTTAATGAGCAATATGTTTTCTGAAATAAAGTTCTAACAAAAAAACATGCTTTTCCACAATAACAAAACCACTCTCCACAAACTATATATATATAACACTGAGGTTACATTTTCTTCAAGCATGTCAAAAACAACTGTTGAAACAACCAAGTATTAAAAAAGTGTAGGACATGGTGACAATCAAGTAAAGTTGATCTAAGCAGAAGGTCATTTCATACATTAATAAGCCTCACTGCTGTGTCAGCACCAATTACAAAAGCACTGCCTGGAAAAAGTTCAGCCTTCTTATAAAAATAAGGCTGATTCGATATGATTACTGTCTTTCCTGCCATTGAAGAAATCATTTACTACTTTAGTTGTTGGCGCATTAAATAATACTACTAAGCACTCAAAAAGGGTATTAAACTCTAAGTATCATATTGTCATAAGACTTATCCTAATTATTAAACTTAAAACATGTGAACCCATTCAGCATTCACCGTGCATATAAAAAGTAAAGAATCCATTATTGGATATAAAAAAGGAAGCAGATCCCCTCCATAAATTAATAAATGATGTAAATAAACTTGTACATTAGAAAAGAACCTCACCAACTTTTTGAAATTGTTTGACGCGATCTTTAATCGTAGCCACTGATAACGGAGGTTTGTCTGCATTGACAGCAGATATTTCAAAGCAAGGATACCCATCACCACAAATGCTGCACATATGTCATTTTAATAATAGAAATATTGAAATAAAACTATGAACAAAAGAAACAAAATTTAAATGAACCATCATGTGTATGGATATATGATCCTAATTGTATAGAAAAGAAAAGTCTTGATTTCTAATCCATAATCTAAAAATTACACTTATCAGGTATGAAATTTTATCATTATATTTCGGAAACCATACCAACTTCTAAACAGAATACTTCATTATTAATGCCAAAGTTAAATAATTTATTTACTCCAGCGGAAGCTACTTATGATAAATAACATTAATATTATCAACAAATATCAGAATAGGAGAATATTTTGGAGCAGCTACTAAAATCAAATTTAGAGAGTAGTCTCTTGAAAGGCAGATATCTAAGCATATTAAAATATAACTACAAAAATTATCAGGCAAATCATATTTTATGACTAATCCATTAGATTAACCTATAAGAAATTGAACATTTAACGAATGTTATGAGTTAATGTACCGAGTAGCGACTTCCATAAGCTTGAGATGCCCATCATGTAATGGATTGAAAGAACCGGGCATTATTATTTTCCTGTCGGCTGGTATCTCTGCAGATAAAGATAATAATTTATCAATAAGAGAGTAGAATGTGAATGTAACCATTTTTTTTGCTTCTGCTCAAAGGTTTTACCATACCATTTGCAAATGGGTAAATTTTAAAGCATATTTGACCATTTATAAGTTGTTCTAACTGTTGATCTTCATTGAATTGCGTTTCACATTCTTCGGATACATCTGATTCACTCAACGCTGAAATTGATGTTGCACAAATTTTGCATGCATTTGCAATTGCCTAGAACCAGAACAGAAAGGGGAGCAAAAAGCAAGTCAAATATAAGTTGGTTTTAAAACAAATGTGGCAAGGGATAAACTAAAGATTAGCTTCCAACTATTACAGTTGTCATCTTAAAAGATATTCAATGTTATTTTATATGAAATCTTAAAAGGGAAAAAAAATGAGGGAAAATAACTCGAGTGGATATAAATAACAGAACAAAAATATTCTCAACATTTTTTCAAACCTG